TTCTTTAAACTTTCTTCAATATACATTCCTCCTCAACTATTTTTATTTATTACACTTTACATCTCTTCAAATAATTTATTGCTACTTTTCTGATATAGTATTTCCCCATATACCAACTTTTTTACTATTATCATATTCACCCTTGTAAATAACTTTTTTTATGCTAAAAGCATTTGCTAAAAATAATGTGATACTCTAAGAATTGATCATCTAAATCTATCCATTTACCGATTTTCATACTTTGCTCACTATAATATCCACCACCACTAAGGATATATTAATGTTACATAATTGTATTTTCATATAAAATATTCCATTAGCCTATTTTTTTGCCATTTTTATATTCACCACTATAGTGTATTTAAGCAGACCTAATTATTATATTTATATATTTAATACTTTTTGAAATTATCATTCTCTTCTACCCAAATCCCAATCTTTTAACATAAATATGTTTTTAAATTTCAGTCTTTTTTTATAAATAAAACTTATGTATTTGTAATGAAAATTCAATATTTTTTTCAAAAAAAATTATGGATTACACTCATGAGATCTATTTGAAGTATTCACTTAGGTTAAAGAAGCTAATCAAACAATATTTAGTGATATGATTAAAATGTTTAAAAAAGAAAAAATACAAGATATCCTACGATATCTTTCTATTGATGAGAATCAAAACCACCTTGGATAATACATTTTTAAAATAGGCAAATAATCATAAAAATATCCAGAATAGAGACTCAAAAAATATCAGAAATAACATTAAAATAATTTCAAATATTATGATAAAAATTAAGGATGATGACTTTAATAAAAATAATTATTCATCTGAAAAATACTAAAAAATTAAAAAAGAAATTATATAAAATATTGGTAGAAATTAGAAGATCATACTTACTAGTCTTGACGAATAATTTATTTTATTTAATGTGGGTCTAATGGATTAAATTTATTGGTAGATATGAAGGTTGATTAGACAAATCAATGCTTTGGAAATATAAGGATTTAAAATACTTCTTTGG